AAATGATTTTAGCATATGGCTGCAATAGAACAAAGAGTGAAAAATTTAAGGGGGTCTGAATACTTTCCGTACCCACTGTATATTACTTAGAAAAGTCTGACTGGCCTATATTCTGCCAATACTTTAACAGTGTCTTTTTAAGCCCATTTACTATAGTACATGTCATAAATACTTTACTGCTGACAGCTGTGCAAGTTATATTTTATGCTTCCATTCATTTCTGTACAATATGAAAGTGATTTAGCAGAGAAGTGAAACTTCCTGGAGCTGTGTAGTCCATGACAGTGAGCATTAAGTTTGCATTTATTTTTGCTGTATATATATTTGTGTGGTATTTCCTACTGATTATCACATTGTAAGATAACTAATTGGACAAATGTTTTATAATAGAAAGAGGCATTGGATTTTTTTCTGTACAAGAATGTTTAGCAGCTATTCTTTCTTGGAATGTTCCAGTCATTGTCTCCTTGCTACATCCCTCATCCTTCCCCCATGTTTTCATCTGATCATCACACCTCTGTTTCCCCCTCTTGTCCTCCTTCCCTGTTCTTCCAGCGACAGACACCATGTGGACTGGGTGCGCTCCTACCTGTCAATCTGGACAGAGATGCAGGCCTTCATCAAGCAGCACCACACCACCGGACTGGTGTGGAGCAAGAGTGTGAGTACAGAAACACAGTCACATGTGATATTCTCTGTATTAATATGAATGTTTTGGCAACTTTTCAGTATCATCCAGTGCTTCTCTATATGTTAACAGTACATTTGCCTGAAAAGAAGAAATCACTCCCATCACAGCTTGATTCTTGTCTTAGGTTCATTTTCGTTTGATTCCAATTCGCAGGCCTCAATATTTTTATACCAGAGCTCAAATTAACTCCTGCTTTTGCATGCACTTCCATTTTTAGTTATGAGGCAGCTGGTTACAGAAACTGCAGCAGAGAACATGAATGAATGAATGAGCTTCTCCTCAGCAGCTGCATCCCGTGTTTCTCTCTGTCACTCTCATATGCACTTCTTTTTCTGCACTGAGGGACTCCGCAGCGCTCACACTCACTAGATCCTAGAGATTACGATGGCTAGAAACCAGCTCCTTCAACACACCCTTTGGATGTCTTTCTTTTTTTTAACTTAGAAGGGTTCCTGTCATCTTTATTCACATGGGGAAAACTCTCTGAGTCCTCTATTTAGTCTATTTAGGCATCTAAATCAACTTTTAGGAACAGTGCTGCAACATCTTTCTCTACAGAATTGTTTGATACTTTTCAGGCTAAGCAAAGCTAACTGTCCCTTGGCTGATTTTTACCAAACATGACAGTGATATTCACATTTAGGCAAGAAAGCAAATATGCAAATGTCCCTAAATGTGTAACTGTTCCTTTAAATGGTGAGATGAAAGTCCAAAGTGAAACTAATGTTCAGCAGCTGTTCTTGAGTGTCTTCATGCAGAAACTTGAGAGCCTGTAGTAGCTGTGTGTGTCAGCTGTTGCCCCTGCTGAAGGGTGTGTGTACAAGGACAGGAGTGTGTGGTACTAACAGGTGGTCTTCAGGGTTTACTTGAATGGAGGTTTTCTTCACAGAGGAACCCCAACAAAGAGCCTGTGTACACACGCACAGGCTGTGCCGCTGCAAGGCTGCTCACAGCTATCACCTGCTGCTCAAGACGGGGGTTTAGTGACACACTTATACTCGGACATGCACAGGCTGCCATATGGAGGTGGCTATACACGCACAAACTACCAAATTACGTTAGTTCCTTAGACCAGAGTCAGGCCAAAAGGGTGTTAAATGTTTCATCAAACACTGCTGAAACTAAAAATAAGGAAGCAAGTTTCCCTGTGCTAATCGGGGCTATTCTAGTGACTGGGCTTTTCCAGGCAGCTATAGGCTACTCAATAGGCTCTTCTTTGGGCAACTTGTGGCATCCTCTGACCAGGAAACTGTGACGTTCTTTCTGGATGACACAACTGTCGTGACCTTTAATCACAAAACTAGCTAATACACAGTTTAATCTTTATTTTCATTACTGATTCATATGGTCATTAGGCTAAATCCACATCTCTCAGTCGATAAATTGGGGTTTGGTTAAACAGTGACTTGAATGATTAAGCAGTTATCAAACAAGTTGCTGATTTATTTACTGTTATTTAAATAACTGAATAATTATTGCAGCTGTAGCCTAAAGCAGTAGAAAATGTGTCTGATTATTAACTCTTTAATTTACTGTTTAAAATTAAATATATCCCAGTTTTTGTCAAACAAAATCTAGAAAAAAAACCCTGACCAAACACATCTAAAATGTGACTAAAGGGGCAAAAATACCTTTTTACCCAAAAGCTAACTCCCCTGCTCCAAATAAACATGCTTGTGCACACTTACAGAGGTAGTCAGATAGTTTTACTGCCACGTATGAACGTACACACATGCTGGTTCTAATCCAGTGGTATGTGCTGAGCTGTTTAGTATAACAGGTCTGCATTGTTCAGCAATAATATACATGAAGCATGTGTCCCATGTCAAAGATCAAGCAGTCTCAGCTGTGCTCAGAAGCACGTAAAGTGCCAGTTTGACTATCTGAAACCCTGTGGAAGGGGCTGTGTCTGTCTCTGGCAGCTGTGCAGGGTTTTCAGACAGTGGTTCTGTGTGTGTCTGCTTCAGTTTACAATGAGATAAAACGCGGGAAAACAGCTTGATACGTTTTTGCAGCCCCAGTTCGGATCCATAGTGTTTCCAAAGATACCAAAACTGTATGTGTCTGAAATGATGCAAAAGATACTGGAAATATTTCCACTTGTTGAACTGGTGCACTCATATAATACATGGAGTCTTGGTATTGAATATTTCCCACAATATAGACAAGCATGTAATTTCAATACAGACCTAGGATAAGAGGATATAAATTATATATACAGTGTGTGCTGACAGACAGAGGGGGGACTAAGCTGATTTTAACAAAGCAGGAAATAAAAGTGCCTCCTCCATCAATTACATATTTCTTAAAGCTATTCTTGGCAGTAAAAATTAAGTGTAATCATAAAACAATGACAAACCATGATCTGTCTCAGGTAAAATGAAAAGAACATCTCAATGTTACCACCAAGGTTCTGCATATTGCTTTTATACAACCCCCCCTGCTGGACGTCTTTATTACTACAGCTTTTATCCACGAAATCCTGTTGCTTCTGTGCTTTCTCATATGAAAATCTCACAAACCCAAAATGCAGCACCGTGTCTAAATTTTTGGCCTTCTTCATCATCCAGGGCCCCATTGCTCCTTCTTCTCTCTTTGAGCCCCCCACCGACTCCAGTACTCCCTGTCCCCCACCTCCACCCGGCCCACCTCCAGTCTTCACAGACAATGACTCCCAGCCTCAAGCAGGCAATGCGGTGGCACAGCACTCTGCACTATTCGCTCAGCTTAACCAGGGCATGGACATCACTAAAGGTGGGTTGAATGACTAAAAGCAGAGGATGCAACTTCTTTCCTTTAGCTACTGTTTTATATCATCATTTATATGCCATGTTCAGTCGACAGAAGTGAGGTGTCTGTGCAGGAGTACCAACTGCAACCTGCGTTCTTTTGTGACTCAAGGTACTATGTATCTAAGTTATAAATTGAGGTGATGGTAATAGTAGGACACCGAAATATAGACATTACAGTAATAGATTAATAATTTGTCAACAAGAAATTCCAAGGTCATATAATCCACATGTGTCCAGGTCTGTAGCTATTTACATGATTAAGAGAAACACTTCTATGACTATATGTTTTTAGGGTTAATTCTAAATACCTAACTGCATATCTTAAATTGGGACTGATTTAGGCAAAACTAAATATGTTAATATGTTTAGAAATTAAACCAAAATGTAAGGTGATACCTTAAACAGTTAAATTACTTTTTTAAATACAAAGAAAGTTTTACAGTTTTTTAAGGCTAGCCAGTGGGTGTGACGGTGCTGAGTGGATTCAGAAACATGAGTGCAACATTTTCTAAACTCCTTGCTACACCTGTTAAAGCCCATCTCATATTTTCCATCGGTTCCACAGGTTTAAAGCATGTCTCAGATGATGAGAAGACCCATAAGAACCCAAATCTGCGCTCTCAAGCAACCCCAACCAAAACCAAGTGCCCGGTGACTGTGAACCCACCCAGAGCTGCCGTTCAGAAAAGAGCCCCTCTGCTGGGGCTAGAGGGGAAGAAATGGAGAGTGGTATGTTACATTCTATTGAAATAATTATTCCCAAAGGGTAGCAGAGTAACATTAAATTCAACCTAGATCCAAGATTCCTTTGTGAATTTAATAAAAATATCTAATCGTTCATCATATTTACTGTTACACACCCTGCTTCTTACTCATGCATTCACATTTTCTCTGGCTTTACAAAACAAATCTTGACCGCAGCTAATCAAACCTTTATTCTACTGATGTCAGCCAATGACAGGTAACATCACACCCATTACTTTGCAGATGACTGAGTCTGTTCCCTTGTTGTTGCAGGAAAACTTTGAGCAGAAACATGACCTGATGATCGAGGACACGGAGCTAAAACAGGTGGTCTACGTCTTCAACTGTAACAACTCCACTTTGCAGATTAAGGGCAAAATTAACTCCATTATCATAGGTGAGCTACCTGAAAACAGATCTGGATATATTACTTTTGAGCTTAAATGAATCATTTCTGATTATAATTCTCCTTATTCCACATGGTCTCTCCGCAGACAACTGTAAGAAGCTGGGTCTGGTTTTTGAGAACGTGGTTGGGATTGTGGAGATCATCAACTCCAAGGCAATTCAAGTACAGGTGAGTGACAATCAGTAAAATTCACAAGACACACTGGCCTTACTGTTTGACACTCTTAGCACTATTGATCTACTTTGAACAATGCTAGATACAGTAAATGTCAGATTGACAATGCACAAACTTAAGTTGTGCATTAATAACTTGCTTTGAACGTAGGTAATCTCATTTACTGTACATACACTATGAAACTGAACCCCTTAATTATTTACCTTAAAAAATCCATTAATTTATCCATTAATAGTGATGGAATTAAGTCATTTTAGTGGCCTATTAAGGGGGTAATTAATTAATAAATGGGCTAATAAAAATTAATTACTTTGTAATTAATTTCACTTGGTTTAATAGATTTGTAAGGGAAAAAAACCACAGGTACCTGTCAGAAGTTGTGACACATTTTTCTCTTGCAGGTGTTGGGTACAGTTCCCACCATTTCCATCAACAAGACAGAGGGCTGCCAGGTCTACCTGAGTAAAGACTCCCTCAGCTGCGACATTGTCAGTGCCAAGAGCTCCGAGATGAACATCCTGGTACCAGAAGGAGATGATGACTATGTAAGTATCTGAGAGTAGGATAAGTGAAAGAGAGTGAGACTGAGCTGACTCTCTGAGTTTTAATTACTTTTTCCTAAAATTGTCATGTGTGTATTTTACAGAGAGAGTTTCCAGTCCCAGAGCAGTTCAAGACTGTTTGGGATGGCTCCAAACTGGTGACAGAACCCACTGAGATTGCAGGCTGATTGACACTTCATGGTCTCTGTCACCAGCACAGCCATCATCATCATCACTGTTACCTGGATTTCATAGATATACTGTACGTAAAAGGGAATTTCATATGCTGGCACTGCAACTTGAACTATTGGTCCAGTCATATTTGCTGTAATTGTTACTTCATGAAATGTTTCTCTAGCACTTTTAAGCTTTTGATTGTAGTGAACCAGTGAGTATATTGATTATCCCTGTCAACATCCCCACAAAATAACTGGATTTCTGGACTCAAGTCCAAAAATTCAGTATAATTACCTTTTCTTACATTTGTGTGCCAAGGCATTTATGTAAGAATATGTAACTGTGGAAATATAAGCAATCTTATAACATCCTCTCATCAAGCTATTAGTATTCTATTGTTCATTCATTGCTGTATTTTATTGTATTGGAATACTAAGATAGACCACAGCAGCAACACATAATTGAACAGAAAAGCTAAAGATTGTGTAACATGCACCTTCAGTGGCCAAGCTGACAAAATGGGCTGTTTGGTACTTTTCTATCTGAAGTGTATCTTAGTTACCTCTTTTAATCTTGTATAGTGTGTGATAGTCATATAGCACCATTTCACTTAGTGAGTGAACACAGTAGTGTTCACTATATTTCACATTAATGCCAGATGTCACCATCTTCTTAGTGCATGATACGCACAGTAATGAATGAGAAATCAAATCAATAATTAAATAAATAGTTGGCTACTAATTTCTTGTATGACTTAAGATGCTGGTAACTTAAGTTGAGCACTTCCTGGTCTCTGTATAACTTTGTACATCCCTCTGTTTTGTAGAGGGATTACATGGCACCAGCACTGGAAGATGACAGTACACAGTGCAAATGCTTTTTTAAAACATTTAATTTTTAATTTTCATGAAAATAGTGAGGTAATTATGTAAAATTTTACAAATAAAATTTAAACCCTCAGTTCTTGCTTGTTCATGTTGTTACAAAAAAGGTTTCACTATCACAGAGACCAAAACAAGAATACAAAAAAAAAAAACAAAAAAAACAAAACGGCATCGTAGAAACACACATTAACATGGGGAACTGGAAACGATTGAAACCTCCAGGAAAATGCAAAAATTTTCAGATCAGTTTTAAAGAAGCACAAGCTGAATTAGATATTATCCGCATACAGTAAGAGTTTGGGTACCGTTTCAAAGGCTCCTTTCAGTTTTTGATCACCATATTTCCCTGAGTGTCTTGAGTAAAGACCATCTCGTCTTCCTCGTCATCCTCCACCAGAGATTTGTAAGCAGTAGTTCTCACTGTCCCAGTGCTGATATTACTCTGATCATTAAGGGGACTTCTGGTTTGCAGACTCCTATGTGCTATCACCTTGAGGCCTTCAGAGTCCTGGGTAAATAACATGGCCAGACTGTCCTCATCAACTGCTCTGCTTTGCTGCTGAGGTGCTTGTTTTTTAAGAGGTGTGCTCCTCGGATTTGTCCACTTGAACTGTGAGTTGTAGCTCTCTTCTTTATCAGCCTCTCTCCACAGCTGCTCGGTGATGTGTTTTCGAGGTGATGCAGTTTTCCATTCTGTCCACTTGTGATTTGAAAGAGATCCAGGATGAGAGAAAGATGAGTGCTTACTTGGGGAATTAGCAGATAATGACCTGTTTTCTTTCTCATCATCCATCTGAGAAGAATGAAAGTGTTTAAATAGTTTTTGAGTGGAGGTTCTCTCCTCCAGATCCATTGGGAATCCAAAAGCCTTGTCGCACTGCAGATCATTTAGGAAACTTTGCTCAGCACTACTAAACTTCTTCACCGGTGTGTTTTTCTGTTTAGTCAGGTAAAATTCACTATCAGAATATTGGCTAAGGGTGAACAGTGGGTCCTGACTCCATGCCTGTAGAAGACATTGACTGTTACCTGGCAAATAGGAGTCGTCAGTGGACTGCTTCTTACTCTGTGGTGGACTAAACTCCTCAGAAGGTTCCTTTTCAGATTCACAATACATGGATTGAGAAGGCATTTGACTTGCCTCATCCTGCTCCTGCCACACTGCTGCCTCAGACTCAGTCACATTTACACTTTTCCACTCATGATCCACATCAGACTGAGAGTTATACAAGTCAGACTTTTCAAGATCTCCTGCACATTCTTGTTTTGTCCTTGATGCAAGAGTTGTGGATGCAGTTGAGATAGATGATGGGGAGGACTGTACTGGATCCATCTTTGGTATTTCGGATGCAGACATCTTATTGAGAACTTTTGGCAAAAGAAATAAGAAGGTATTATGTTAATGTAGTTGGTAGGACCTGATGCGAGCTAAATTAATTCACAGACGAATCACTAAAATGCCAATGATCATTTAATATTGCAATAATTCAAGGCAGTTCAATAGTTTGGCAGACAATTCAACAGACTAAGAGATAGGGGACAGAGTCAGCATTCCTACAGGGAATAAATGCAGTATTAGACAAGAAGATTGTCACAGTCAGTCAGTCTCTTTTAGGTCATAAGCACAGTCAAGTCTGTCACATCCCCCCAGCCGGGGTCTCACACAAATGTCCTTCTTCCGCACGCGCACACACACTACACTACTCTACAGGTCAGCAGCATACTGCCTCCTTTTGTACCCTGCTCACTTTGGGCTCCCCTGCATAAAAAGAAACGGATTGTGACAGTCGTATACATTTAGGCACGTCAACAGTCTGCTACATCTTTGGCCGCTTTGGAGACTTTGCTAAAGAAAATAACATGGCAGCAATTTTAGCAACTTACTTCTGTGCTGAGGTGTGAAGAAGGTTGATATAGAGGTCTGTTTGGTCTTGGGCATTTCCATGTTGGTTTGAGTGAAGTTCAGTGCCACAGCCAAACTGTATCCTGCACCTTCAGCGAAGGGATTCAGCAGTTTTGAAATGGGACGGGCTAGACGTTTCTGGAAAAATAAAGAGGGCCAGAGTGACATATGGCTCTACATAAACACTTAAGTGTAGTAGCAGCATGAGAATAATACTATAGTAATATTAATATAATACTTCTTATTGAGAGGTACTTAAATATCCATTTAGTCTACTTAAAGCTAGTTTGCATAGTTACCTGTTTAGCTTTTCTTTTCAGTTGCACAGTGTCCAGCCAAATACCACATTCTCCTTGAGAGCAGGTCTGCATTGCTGATTTGGAGGTCTTCATGGAGATGAAAGTTAAAGATCTGCAATGCATTAAAAATATATTTGTTGTAAATAAGATAAATCAGATAATCATTCGAAGCAGGGTCTCTGTCGAATTTATCAAAATTAAGTAACAGCTGACATTAAGCCAAGACTTAATGTAATGTTTCTGATTACTTCCCGTCGACATCCATTATTGCTAATTCACACCATAAGCCTTCATCTTAACACTAATGTTACGACTGATGTTAGCTAACATTATCAGCCACCTAACTTCGTTAAGTCATATGGTACTGAATAACCAAAGCTATAATGTTGCTTAGATTTGCCACTTAACGCGAATCACTTAATATTAATACCTCATAAAATTGCACAGAACTATTCTTGGCGTTTCTTTTACTTTATTTATACCAACCTCGTAAGTTTGACAATTATCCGCTTTTCTATTTGTTTGAGTATGGCGCCTTGACGATGAGTTGCCACTCACGTTTGACTGTTTAAAAACAATAAAATATGGTTACGCCTTAAAACATGTTCTTTACTGCAACAGCTCCTTTATTGTGTGAAATATTAATGGCCAAAAAAAGAAACTACGTACATTAAATAGGGCAGTAACAAACGCATTTTTTTCGATTTTTAGTGCGGCACAATGGACACCTAATATTTTGACGTCTACTGGTCTTCGCAGGAGGGTGTGTTTACATTTACGTCATATCAGTTTGCCGAAAGGGTGAGTGAAATGTCTTTTAATATTATTGATTAAACGCTGGTATTGAAATAACGACAAAACGCTATGGCCTTCCTAGACTCTCCCATAATAAAGACCAATAATACAAAATGCTGTTGTTGTAAAAAATGCCTGTATGGTATAGTTTATCATAAGTCATAAAGGAAGTTCTTACGAGCTAGTCTCGACAGCTAGCTAGTTTGACAAAACAAGATGTTGTAAGTTCATGATCGGCTTTCTTTAGCTGGAATATTTCTTCTAATTTTCACTGATTCAAATTGTTCATCGAGTGACTGTTAATGCTAGCATTGGTTTATACTCAACTTGGTAGCATTTAATATTTTGTATTGTTCAGCTACTGTTTCCAACCTCTATAGTACAAATGAGGGCCATCAGTTATTAGACAATTTGTGATGTAAATCTTTTTTAGATCAAGTTCTGATACATCAGCATCATGTTCCATGGTATACCAGTTACCGGAGGTGTAGGAGGAGGTAAGCCAATGAAATAAATGTGTGTCCCATATAGTCATTAAAACTGGCAATTAGAACATGGCACTAAGTGTAACCCAAAACATGTAAACGTATTTTTTCTCCCACAGCTCCAGCCAATAAACCTGAGTTATATGAGGTAAATGTAACTGTTTAATGTTGTAATTAATGCAGTGAAAATAGGATTTGAAATCTAATTTAACTTTAGAGAAACACATGACCATTATCTTACTACTTTAGTTTTCAATTAATTCACTGCAGCTTACATTGATTAAACCTACATTTATTTATTTTTAGTTATTTATTTTGCTGTTCCTTGAGCAATAAATATAAAACTGAATTCAGGCTAATACTGGTACCTTGAATACATTATCAGGGCTTTCCTTTGCTTTTCAGAGGGCTTAAGTGCGTTGGGTGCCTATAGAATTCTCCCTGTTGCTTTTAGCATATATCCATTCTGATATGTTGCCTAAAGGTCTTTTTATGCTCATTTGACTTTAGGTGCTCTGCAAAAACACTTAAGTGCTGCACCTAAGCTTTTCTATGGCAGGAAAACCCTGATTATATTAATATCATATTAATCACAAATTGTGTCTTCTCAGGAGGTGAAACTGTACAAAAATGCAAGGGAACGAGAAAAGTAAGTTTGATATTAACAGTTACTAATGTAATGTAAGCCCATTGTAGCCTATGAATTTATAATGTGGCCAGTGTTGTAACACTTTGCTATTAATCCTGTACCTAAAGGTATGATAACATGGCAGAGTTGTTTGCTGTTGTCAAGACCCTGCAGGCCCTGGAGAAAGCTTACATCAAAGACTGTGTCACACCCAATGAGTGAGTTACATTTTGTATTTAAAAGAATGGCAAAAATGCCACTTTTGTTAGTATGTGTTATTAATGTGGTGGGCTTCTTGGTTTCAGGTACACAGCTTCCTGTTCCAGACTCTTGGTTCAGTTCAAGGCTGCTTTCAAACAGGTGCAGGGCTCTGATGTAGGCTCCATTGATGAGTTCTGCAGGAAGTACAGAGTGAGTTCTGAGTTGGTGTGCAGAATATTTTATGGCCTGTTTGACCGGTGTTATTAGATTTATGTCTGTAGTGCTGCTGTGGTAAAGATCTTGCTCTTGTCATGTGATCTCCTAGCTTGACTGCCCGTTAGCCATGGAAAGGATTAAAGAGGATCGGCCAATCACCATCAAGGATGACAAGGGAAACCTGAATCGCTGCATTGCAGATATTGTTTCTGTATGTTCTCTCTCCCTTCCATCAAATTAAACAGTCAGTGCAGTCTCATTCTGAATGTGTGCCAGAATAAATATTGTTGCAGTCAAACTTTTGATTAAATTAAATTAAATAATGTCCTGTGTTCACTTCATGCATTAAGTGGCTGAAGTGGTTCCACTTAATTTGTCACTTAATCATCTTCTAACAAGTCACTGAGTTGGTGTTGCCTGCTGTAGCTACTGCCAACTTTTTACTCAAGTCATAAAATTGGATAAACTAATAAAATTTGCAGATGTGCAACGAGATACTGTTAAAGGCAGTTTCCTGTTTGTGTTCTTGACAGTAAAAATAAATTATATTTCCTGTTGATGACTATGGAAGTTGTAAAACATATTGAGCATTTTCTTAATGTTTATTATTTTCTCTCACTTTCTCTAACCTTCAGCTCTTCATTACTGTGATGGACAAGCTGAGGTTGGAGATCAGGGCCATGGATGAGGTAAATAGAAAAGTGCAGAATGTTGATAGACTTGGTAGCCCAAGTGGATACTTGACCATTGTATACCTCTGGTCCAGATCCAGCCAGACCTGAGGGAACTGATGGAAACCATGAATAGAATGAGCAACATGCCTCCAGACTCAGAGGCTAAGGACAAAGTCAGCCTCTGGTGAGTTACACTGGGCCACCAGGTTTGTAGTGTTTATACTGTAAAACCCTGTGACACACACTGGCTTGCTCTGGTGGGAATGGTTGTGCAGAGAGGTGTCCATAAGGTAAACTAATACCACTCTCACAATGAACACATATTCAATAGTGTATGATCATTTACAGCAGACTGCTGATCATGAGTAAATGCTGTGGTATAACTAGTCAGACAAAACATGGGAACTGTTGTCACTGCTAAAATTGATATCTTACTCAGCTGTTACCTTATGCCTATATATAGTTTTAGGCAAATTAGAGGAACAAATATATATACATAACGATAAGATGCTTTTTGTCATCTTTCTTGATATTTCCTCATTAGGTTGACCAAGCTCAGTAGTATGTCAGCCTCAGACGAGTTGGATGATAATCAGGTGCGCCAGATGCTGTTTGACCTGGAGTCTGCCTATAATGCCTTCAATCGTTTCCTCCACTCATCTTAAAGCATCTGTCCATTCATCTGTTTGTTTAGAGCTCTGACTCCAGTACCTGCTAAGTTAAAAGAAACACTCAAATTTCTCCTTCTGATTATTGGTAGGGAGTGTATTTATACCTGGACATGTTTTCTGACTCATGAATCTATACTTTTCCTTTCTCTCTTTACATTTGTTCTGTATGTTGTGTACAGTTCAGACTCCATCACTTTGTATAGTATAGTATATATCATGCTGGCTGCAGCTTTGCCCCCTGGGCAATTCCTATGTGGTGAGATGCTCCATTGGCCTCTTTTCTAGCAAAACATGATAAAAACTTTAACATTGGCTGTTTATTCTGCCCTTCTTTGTACTGTAATAGCAAAGAAGGTTTAACAGAGAAGTACGATACAGTTATATTGGGCAAATTCTGCACATGAACAAGTTGCAGCAGTCAAAGCATTTATATTATTGGAAAGATGAATAAATATTTTTCTTTTTGGTACCATAAGTGTATTAACTATCTGCCACCTAGGGACAGTTTTGGAGTTTTTGTTATGTGTACCATGATTGTTTTCTATTTCACAAGTTTTTACTGTAGAACTTAAAATAGTGTTTATCAATAGATTAAGTTAACCAATAAAATACATCTGAAATAATAGTTTGGACTGTGAACATGATTTAGACTATAATTCAAATTAATCATAATACTGAACATAAGGAGGGAGGACATGGGTTATTTCCATTATTTGTGTACATTTTGTCTTCTGTTATCATGCCTGATCCAAATTTCTATAGAAGTGATGGGTTTTTTTCACATTAAGATTGGTGTACATTCCTCCTTATTTTACTTACTACAAATGTTTCAACCCTCAAACACCATTAGGGAATACATATTAAGATTTATCTTTGTAAATAATAGTTTCAATTTTTAAATAAAAGCATGTATTAAATTTTTTAAAAATAAACTTGAGAACTCTACCTCTACCTTCATTTGTGTGTGCATCGTGTCCCATTGAATTGAATGGGAAAGTGTATCCAAACATTTGACTGGTAGTGTGGCTGACTCACCTTTTTACTAACTATAACCAACAGAAAAGAGCTCCTCATCACTCTAC